GCCCGCCTCCTCCCGGGCTCTGGCTGGTGCAGGGAAAAGGGTAGAGGAGAAACTTGGGGACCTCCGGGAGGAGTTCGCGTCGTGACCCGGACTTGGTGCCTGTCGTCCTCCCCGGGCACCCAGTTCCCCACGGAGCCGGAATCCCGTCGGTGATCATGATGGGGTGCTTTTATTTCTTTTGATTTCTCTTATATTTTCCAAAAACGTCTATGTCGACTGCCCTTGTGTTAAGGGGAAGTTGAAAGTGAAGGGGGTGGGGGACAGCGGTGTGCTTGATGAGAAGCGTTGCCTTGTGTGGAGTTACACATTTCCGGAGCACACTGCAGATGATACGGGCATCTCTTCCCAAAAGTCACTTTGATTCGACTTCGATGAGTTTCTCGTAAATGGCAGCTTTTAGGTGGAAAGATTGGTGGGCGAAGGAACAGGCACCCGTACACCCGACGTGACCTCGGATGGGATAGGTGCAGCTAAGCATCAGGAGTTTTGTAAGAGTTCTGAAGCCAGGTTTGATATTTTATTAAGCCGTAATGTTGTTATCCAATTTCCCTGCACTGGCCTCCCACTCCCTGCCACCAAGTACCTTGCATTTTCCTATCTGGGACAAAACAGTTGTGTAGAATGAATTTGATGGTTTCCATTTCCTTACTAAAGTTTGGGCCATTCTCCCTGTTTTTCCTCCAGTTTTATTTAAAAGAGGAAGAGTTGTAAATGCAAATGTATGATGGTGAAGTTTAACCTCTGACTAGAAACTGGTATGTGTAAAATTTTGCTCAAGTTATGTGAGGTCAGTAACTTCATTTCTACCATTACAGTGCTCTCAATTAGACTTTTGGCACAAAGGCAAAAAATTATCTGGTGGGATGATTCTGAGGTCTAAGTTGCCTCCTCTAGGGTGTGTTGAAACTCCCTGAGTTCCAGAGAAAATTGGCAGACAGACTGGCTCTACCTGGACATCAGACCCTGTTAATTTCTGTGGTTTTAGAGAGAGGACACTAGTTAAGAAAGAACACCTTTCGATATTAATTGTACATGGTGAGTGTCAATTGATTATCTCTCCCAAGTGCACTTTGGTGAGGACAGTTATTATTTAAAAGGTAATTGTCAAGAGTTAAAACCACTTTCTTTTTAAGTTACCTGTTATCTGAGCTTATCATAATACTGACTTTGAAACAGTATCTAGTGACTTAAGATAATCTTTAATGTTTTTATAGGACACCATCACTGTCCTTTGTAACTGTTACCTCTTCTTGACACATTGTATTAGTTTTTCATAGATAGAGTCCTAGCCAAACACTTGAAAAAGTTTATTTGTAACTTAAAAATTTGGTTGGACAGTGCCAAGATTTTTCTAAATAAGTCTAAGGGGAATTGAAAAGATTATAAAATTTAAGCTGTACCTGAAAATGAACATTTCTGAAAGTCCTTGACTCAAGTGGTAGGAA